TGCCTAACTGTACTAATTCGGCAGTTAACAAATATTTTTTTTGCCATTTAGGGTAGCTGGAATGAAATCGGTTTGGGGTAAAACCCCCAAGCTGAATTTGCTGTCTAAAATTTTAAGTGTGGGTAAGAATGAAACTAACAAACTGTGTCTACACGCACATATGTATATAAGTATATATATATGACTATATGTATATATGTATGTATGTCAATTTGATAGGCAGCCTACTATGCGTGTCCGCCCACGTTCGGCAGCAAATGTGGGCAACAACCAAAAACTGTCGCAGTTTTCATTATGCCCAAAAACACAAAAAAAACACACACACACAAAAGAGTATTTCAATAAAAAACAGTGTTTTAATGCGCCTCTCGTACTACTAAGTAGCTCTTAACTCGATTGCTGCTGCTGTCTGTTCAAACTGAGGGCGACAGCGCGTCTGTCAGAGTTGGAGCATTGTTCACGCATTAACTGTACAAGTTATGTGCAATTTGACCGAAAATAAGCGTAAACAATTTACATGGATCCATAAAAAGAAGAACTGAAATAAACACAATTAATACATGTACACATGTTTATATACAAGACATTAAATAAAATAGTCAAGGAAAACATCAACAGCAGCAACAGCAACAAAGCAGAAAAATAAAACAATTTTAAATAATACAAAAGTGAAAAAAAAAAACACAAAATTTTTTTTTCTTTGCAAGCGCACATGACGATGACAGCGACGCTGGCAGCGGGCAGCGGGCAGCGTTGCTGGCAGCGCAGGCCTCCATTCATTATAAACGGTTTCATTCATAAAAACGACTCTGGCGAGTGAGTGAGCGAGCTAAGTGAATTCGCCGCGTGGCGCTCTTTCACTCAAACTCAATTCGCTCGACTCGGCTCGACTCTTTTGGAATTCGCTTTCGCTGTGGCTGTTGGTGCTCGCTCTCTGAAACGAGTTGAGTTTTGTGGCATTGGAGAGGAAGTTTCGAGTGTCGACTGCTGTCTGCTGTGCGTGTTTGTGTGTGTGTGTGTGTGTGTGTGTGTGTGTGTGTGTGTGTTACATACTGAAATACATACGATTTGTATAAATGTATGCGTTTGGCAAGCCATTTTGATACTATGCCATATAGTAAATATATATGTAAATGTATGTGTATATATGTATGTATGTATGTATATTTGTGTTTCGCTTCCTTCTGAACTGGAAAGTTCATGCTAATCTCTGCCTTGGCACCCAATAGTCTGTCTTCCAAGCTAGCTTGTTTCTTTCTATATGTGCATACATACATATGTACTTATATGTATGTATATACATATAATATGTATATGTATATTTATTTTTTTCACTTAGTTGTTATCTATAGTCGATCCGATTTGCTTGCTATCTCCCCCGTTTTGAGGCTTGGCTTATTAGACAACAAACAACTCTTCACGCTCGCTTTAACTTTTTGTCGTTGTTGTTTTTGCTGTTATTTTCAACGCACGTCGCTGTCGACGTTGCTGCTGTTGTTGTTGTTGTTGTTGTTGCCGCGCACTTTTTTTTATGTTGAAGCCAAGAAAAGTGCTACTGGTTTTGAGATTTTATTTTAAAGTCGCTGCGCACAGTTGCCAACGCGCCGCAGAGTCGTGTATTTTTCTTTGGACACTGACTGCGCGAAGCACTCGGCAACTCTGCCGAACATCAACAGCAACAGCAACAACAACTACAACGGCAGCAGCCTAACCAGAGACCAGCCAGCCAGCCAGACAGACAACGTTGAACCAGTCGCTGATGTGTTTGCCTTTCAATATCATTCACACTGGAGCGCGTTTACTTGCTCGCAACTTAAGTGCGTTTCGGACGGCCATAGAATTGTTTGAAAATATGTGTACAAAAAATACTAAATGTCATATATATTGATTTATTAATAGAACAATTTCATATCGTTAGATATAGATATATGTACATACATACATATATACATATGTATACGTGGCATTTGGTTTGGCACAAACAATAATTTTTCATTGTTTGTCCAGGTGAATGGTTTGAGACAATGGGCTCGCCTGTTGTTAACTTTTTCTACTCACACCACACTGGCACGACAGCAGCAGCAACAACAACAACAACAACAACAGCGTATGCTTACCTCATGCAACATTCAGATACAGATACTCGCTCACACATACACATGTATACATGCACACACATACAAACAGACAGACAACCGACACACACCAACACATTCACTCACACACACACACACACACGCACACGCACACTTGGCAGCTGCAGCTATTCATCCATAGACAACAACATCGCCGCGGTTTTGTAGCTACTTTCGCCTTGGTGTGTGCGTATTTTTCATTCATATTGGCAGCCAACGCGAAACAGACAGATTCAACGCTCATTGAGGCTGATTTTTTATGGCCCAGCGAAGAAGGAAAAAAAACATATTTGGTGAAAATATGCAACTAGATGGGATTCATTATTAAATAAAAACTCACTCAATAACATTCGTTTTTTCTTAGTGGGGCAAATAATATTTGAGATTTGAGATTGGAGTGATTAAAACTGAAATTGTTTTTGGTTTTCTGTTTTCGGTTTTCGGTTTTGGAATTCGAATCACTCTGCTGTGGTGAATTCTTCGCGTAGGCAGCAAACGTGCGAGGGGGGCTCTGCAGGGGGCGGCTACCGCTGCTGCTCGTACAGCTCGTTTGCGCGCTGTTTGCTTTGTAAATTTAAATGAATGAAAAAAAAAAAACTGTCATGAATTTGTCGCAAGTCCACAAGCCCCCCGCACTGCAGCGCAGCAAACCGAAAAGCAGAGCCGTCACCAGCAGCGGCAACGCGGCGAGCGAGCGCGCCTACAAGTTGGCATATTTTCAATTTCCGTTTTTTTTAAAACAACAACAGCAACACAGCAAAGCCCCCAACAGTCACAGACACACACACACACACACACAAACACATATACTCACACACATACCGATAAAGCTTCACAGCCCCAAAGCTTATGTTGGCGTCGGTTGCCGCTCGCGGGCATCGAGCGTCGAGCATCGGGCATCGAGCAACGAGCAACGGGCAACGGCGGTGGCGGCAACGTCCGGTTGGTTTTTAGTACGAAAAATCGTCGCCGTCGCCGTCGCTGCCGTCGTCGTCGTCGTCGCCGTCGCCGTCGCTTATAGCATAGGCTTCGTGCGCTTTTGAGGCCTGTAGTCGCTGCATGTGGAACAAGGGCGCTAGCTGATGGCGGGGGGGTTATGAAAGGCCGACCATGTGTTGTCGCCTTACAAATGCTGTGTAGTTCAAAATTGTTTTGTAGTCACTCGAACAGCGTGAGCGCAGCGAATTCATTGAGTCAAAGAGCGAATTCGCTCTCGCTCTCGTAAATGATCAAGTATATGGCGAGATACACAAGCAAACACACATACACAAATCTATATGTATACATTTCATATAATACCAGTCGGATTTAGCGAAACGTGTTTTTGAAGGAGTGCATTTGTGAGATGAGCATTATTACAGAATTTATATACAGACCTGGGCATTTGTTAACATTCCATTATAACATGTTCTATATTGTAGTAAAATTCTAATAAAATTATGGCACTTGATAACAGTAATTCCATTAGTGAAAAATCAAGAAATATAGCAACTTTAATTTAAATTATTGTTTAATCGCTATATATCAATCAACATAAAGGAATATTACGCTATTTCCACGATTATTATTTCCACAATCTTCTGCCACTGTAAAATTCAGTGAGTGGCACTACGTTTCTCATGCGCTCGCGTCCGACTGGGTGCCCTGCTCACTCACACAGCTGCGCTCTCAGCGCGCTCTTTTCGCCGCAAATACAATTTCAGAATGAAATGTTTTCGCCGTTGACAAAAAGCAAAAGGTTGCCAGTACGTCGCGTCGAACTCGGCATTCATTTCGCTTCAAAAACTTTGAGCGTGTACACAGTGCAACGTGAACGGAGCTGAGCAGAGCGGCTGCCGCGAAGAGTATAATTTTTTTTAGCCTGTCATATTAAACATTCACTTGAAACAATTTAACAACAATTCGAACGACGACCATTAACAAGAGCAATAATCAAGTTCAAATTAAGCGCAACAAAATATATATGATATATATATAATTTAATTAAATTTGTGCAAAATATAGTGAGTTTTTGAAATGTTTGTATTTGATAAATGAATTGCAATCGCAATGAAAAATCTATTTTGGAATTGCAAATCGCTTCCAATGGAAATCATGTGCCTAAAAATGTAAATTGCGCAAAGAAAATCGACGTCTATTTAAAAGTCCAACAACAACAACAACACCAACAACGAGCACGGCAAAAATATCTAGCGAAAAAAAAACACAACAAAAATTCAATTCAAATACAAAACGTGTTAAGCGAAAAATAAAACAACAGCCAAAGCAACAGCAGCAACAACAACAATAACAACAACAACAACAGCACCAACAACAGCAACAACAACAGCAGCAACATCAACAACAACAACGACACACGAAATTTGTCTATATAAAATTGCATAAAAATATTTTTTTACTGTAGTGTGTTTGTCGTAGCGCACACACTTACACAGATACAAAAGCGACACTCACACAGCTGCAGTCGTCGACGTGGCCCCCGTCTAAGTGTGCGTGCGTGTGAGCATGTGTGTGTGCGTGCCAGTGTACATGTGTGTGTGTGAGCCGCAGTCGCTGTCAACGTCAACGTAAACGTCGCCGTCGCCGTCTTCGTCGTGGTCGCTGCTGCCGTCGCAAACGTTCATTTATTATTATTATTATTATTATTATTATATTTTTGGCACGCAAACCTGTAACAGTCGCCTGTGCTGCCAGCGTCGCTGTCGCTGCCGTCGTCGCCGTCACCGTCGCTGTCAACGCTGCGTTTTGTGTTAATTAAATTTACTTTTGTGAATGAAATGCGAAAAAAAAACCAAACAAAGCGAATAAAAAATATATTTTTTAATATGTACATAAATGCTAAATAAATAACGCAAGCAAATCTACGCTCGTCTATTTGTATATATATATACACACACACACACACACCCAATCCAACACACACACACATACATATAAACATCTGTATATTTGTATGGATGAACGCGATCGCGTGTAGTTGAAATAAAGGCCAAATCGAAGCGAGCGAAACTTTGGATTATACGAGTCTACGAGCACAGCATTAATTGGATATATCTCTTATATATATTATATATATATATATACGTATATAAATATATTACAACATTGGATTTATACGGATTGCTTTTGAAAATCAATGTAAGTCGAGTTGGGAAATATTTCTCTCTTCTGTTTCTGTTTCTGAATTGTTTAACCTTCATCTCAGATATCAGGAAATGCACAATTACCAATTGCCGCAAGCGATTCGTGACAAATGCAAATGTTAATTTATGTCTATAAACGAATATATGCATACAGATGTACATACATATATACATACATATGTATGTAGTATATAGCATAGTATTTCTTATAGTAAACAACAACAGGAAGAATGTGAAATGTGTTTAGAAATTGTTGCAGGAAATTGTTTACTTACATATTTGTAGAGATTTGAATTTGCCGGAAATCTGAACAAATTTCTTGCCATAATAAATCATATATATATTGTGCTTGATCTGTGCATATAGTGGATTATTTATGGGCGAGATTTGCCATAAATAATGCTGTTTAGTCACACATTATGGGACTTTTCATAAATAATTTTGAAACTGTGAATAATCGAATCATTTTATTTAATGTAGATTTCTTCTTCTGTATGCCATATACCCTTTGTAGACCTTTGTATAACTAGGGTATTTCATATACAGAAATGTTTAACTGACTTTGCAGTTGTTTTGTTTGTCTCGTCGCGTTTCTATTTACCGATCCGCCAGACAGATAATGCGCGGGGCATATATAATAAAGATTAGGAATTCATGTTAATACGAGAGCCAAGCGAAAAACAGTTTGTACAAATAGTTCCACTTAATAGAACTATTTCAATACACACTCACTCATATATAAATTTATATATATGTATGTATATATGTATTCATATGAGATCGGATGTGCTGCTGGCTTTGCTTCATTGTTGCCTCGTTTGATAAGCTGATTATTTTATAGCTGCCCATTCACTAAATCTGCCAGTTGTCTAATCAATATTATTTTTGTTCGCTCATTGAAAAAAACACCTGAGCAATCGATCAACGATAATCGAATAATCGACTGTCAACAACTCGCTCCCTCCCACTCTCTCTATCCAAGTTGGAAATCACGTGCTTGGCCAAAAATGTATAAATATATGTTTGTATTATATATATTTACTCAAGTGTATATAAGTGTTCTATTTATAGTTCAATTTCGTCATTTACCTCTTCTGCTTCTGCTTCTTCTTCTTCTTGGACTTCTTGCCCGTTTGTGGCATCCGCTCGATAAGCATTCGATAAGCTTTTACTTTCTATTTTTCACTGACAAACGCCTCAAATATCAGCCAGCTATCATGACCCACTGGAGTGCGCCAAGAACTTGTGGAACGAACGAACACTTTCGAAAAGCCAGTAAATAGCTCTATAGTGGGATATATAAGACGGCGGGTATACTCTGTGCCAGGTGTGCTTAGGCGTGCTTTACATACTATATATTATAATATATGTTTAGAAATGGGCTAGGTTATACAATGTGTCTATTTTAGAGTTTAAGATTCATTCCTCCAGTCCTTCCCTTAGGCCTCTCATATATCAAGCTGAACGCGTTTCTTAGATCTCTTCACCTGCCAATATCCTTAACACTTTCGGCCCGTCTCCGTCCACTGCAGTAACACAACATCCATATACCCACTTTGCAAACACTGCTTACAGGGTATTTGGACAAAAATACGTCTCTATCGTGCATAAGTCGAGAGTCCAAAAATAAATAAAGAGGCGTACAAAACGTATTTATTTATTTATTTTTTTTTTTCAGCCCGATAAAGTTCGTTGTGGGCATGTTAACAATTTGTTGTTGTTGTTTATATTTTGATCGATGGTCTCTGTGTTCCACATACGTTTACTTGTCGAGCGTAGTTTTCTCTGTGTGCGTGTGTGTGTGTGTGTGTGTGTTCTTTGGCTCGTGACTGCAGTTTTTTTTGTTTTTGTCGTTTGGAGACGAAGTCGAATTTTGATTTGGAGCTGATAAAGATTTTTTTTGGGGTTTTTCAGCTGATAGCAACTGCCGCCCCTCGACAATACCAAATTCAATGTGGGCGTGGCACGTTTAGGGTATTTTTTTTCAATGGAAACATGAATTGCAAATAATCTTTGTATTTTGTTCACCTTCTTTTTTATCAAACTCTTCGCACTTGGCATTAAATTTAAGTTAAATTAATGCAAAACACAAACACACACACTCACACACACACTCGCTCATAGCTGTCTATTTATGTCATAGCCAAAAATATATGTATGTATGTATATCAGCAGCAATTCATTCATGAACGTGGCCAAGAGGCAAACGCGCTACTCGCGTATATAAATAAATAAATTATATGCTTAAATTTGATTAAGCAAATAAATAACAAACAAGTAGAAGAAGAAGAAGAAGCAGCAGCAGCAGCAGGTATTTTTCAATGTATTAGCCAAAAACAAAAACACATTCACAATGTCGTCGATGACGCAGTCAAGAAAATTTGAACATGGCGCAACAAAAAAAGAAAAATGCGAAAATTGTTAATGTGAAAAGCGAAACACAGACGCAAATGCAGCAAAGCAAAAAATAAAAAAATTCTATTGCACATTACTACGAATCATAGATGTATTAAAAAAAAAGTAAAAATAATATATTTATAATTTATATTACATTTAATATATATATGCTTAAGGACTAGGTAATCAAAATTCAACCTGCTTGAGGGAATATAGTATCTAATTTAGTATTTAGTTAACGAAAGTAAGCTGGATATTTTACAATTTTCTTAGACTTGCCTTCAGTATATATATATACCTTATCGATAGGCAAAGCCTATATAACAGAAAGGATTGATCATATAAGGATATATATTGGCTTTTATGCACATGTAATCTCTTTACTTCATGAGCAAGAAAAACTCGGAGCTACATTTTTGATAAGTGTTAAACATTTATTTGAATCTCAAAGGATTCCAGTCCTGTGCAAATTGAACTTTAATCAAGCAGAAATCAAGTCTCTCTTGGAAGTCTGTGCAGGGTTCTTAAAACAATCTTTGGTATAGACTAGCAAAGATCTCGTTAGTTCTCAATAAGAGATGTGATTATTCTAAAAGTTAGCATCATTTATTCAAATATTACATTTATATTACATTTGATGAATCTAGCTTCTGAAACCATCATGCAATCCTTGATTTGCTAAATTGATTTTGAATTGAAAAACATAAGACTGATCGTGCTCTATGCCAACAGCAACTCCCATCACAAATATTATTGTATAATGAAAACCCCAGCCAGAGTCCATTGAATGTTTTGAATGCATATAAATTTAGATATATGAAATGCAGGCAAAACATGCACTACACATGACGTCTACACACATATGTATGTTCATATTCATATATATGTATATGTATATGTTTATGTTTTTATATGTATGTATGTATGTATATCAATTTGTAGGTAGACGGTCGAATACTTTGCTTTGCTTTGCTTTGAATTCTGCGGCTTTTTGCGCTGCCAGCAAAGCGAAACGCCAAGTGAAAAGCCAAAGAAGGAACCCAAATGAGAAATAAAGAAAAACGAAAAAGAATGGGAATGAAAAAAAATAAATATATATATATATATATGAAAACAAAAACAACAAATAATAAATACATATATATGAGAAAGGAAAAGCAAAGCAGTCTGAAAAACATTTTATGCCGCAAGCGAAACATGTGATTTTAATTATTTTTGTCGTCGCACAAAAATTGTTATTTTTGAAAATTATAAATTTTAAAAATAAACCATCAACAGCAGCAGCAACAACAACAACAACAACAACAAGAGCCAATGTGTTTAGGGCAGTGCAACGAATGCTGATGCTACTGCTACTGCTGCTGCCGATAATGATGATGATGATGATGATAATAATAATAATGATGATGTTGATGATGGTGTTATTAATGGGCACACTTGCTAGAAAAGCCAAGCATAATATGAACATTTGTATAATTTACGCAAATTCGCTTTGTTTTATTTATGTTGCTCATTTTTTATGTTTACATAAAAAAACTAAATATGTTTTTAGCATAAAAATTGCATTTATTCATGAATTTTATATGCATTAATGTGAGACACAGTTAGATATAAATATATGTATATCAGTAATGCAGTTATGTGAGGAGAGTATCTTGAATTTGGAAAATGTATTTCTTATATAGATAAATGCAATTGGATTTGGATTCTTTGTGAAATTTTAACTTTTCTTAAAGTTCTATTTTTATATAGAAATAGATAGACATAGATTGAACATCCATAACTCCATCAGTATTTATTTAACACCAATGGAGCTTTACAAGAAGCTTGTTTATATTTTGTAGTTGACTGAAGAAGAGAAAATTATAATGTAAACATAAATATCTTATGAAGAGTCATCTTTTATTTGTTCCCATATACATATATGCATATGTGTTCAATAAAAGCTGGTTAAGAAACTTAACTCAAAAATGATCTATAAAAAAATCTAAATATTATTTAATGCCAAGAACAAAGTAATAATATAATTTATATATATTTATATTTGTATCCATAGAAAATTAGTTATATACAATATAATATGTGCACTTCAGTTCACACAGTATCCTCACATATTTTACTATCTATAGTCAAAAACATATTCTCTCCAAGAACTAAATTAAACTTTTTAAGTCCTCGACATCAAATTGAGATCTTATCACTCATTTGTAATCAACAATGTATATGTTTTTATGTTGCTTTCCAGTAGCTCAATCACAATGCGAACTTTTCTAATATCGAATTCAATAAAATTTCGAAAATGGTTGAATTGAAATTCATGGCAAGTGCTCGGGCATCGGGCTAAAAAGTCATAATTTATATAGTTTATAGTGCTTAACAATTTGCCGAGTAATGGATCGCTCCAACCATGCCAGATTCTGGTTCGCTGTTTTCCGCTATTCGTTTGCCTCGGTTTGTGGCCCATTAGATTCGCTTTCGTTTGTTAGTTTTTGCATGCCCCAAAGCTTAAGCGGCTCCCGGTTTGAGTTCTTTTCATGGTGCCTCTGGCCACCCGAGGGGCCACCCAAATGGCGAACGTCGAGAAACGCATACAAAATG